GGGGGGGGGGGCTGCCCCCATCTAACCTCTGCCTCGTATTTTTCGTCGGCCTCATATGATGTGCGTAGGCCAGGCGGGGCCTGGTAATGCGCAGGGGCATAAATCCAGTCCGTGGCCGCTAAGTGCCGCGCTGGAGCCGCGCTGGAGCCGCGCTGGAGAGCCGGCCGCTGCTGCAGCAGCAAACGCACCATGGCGTCGGCGGCCTCTGCTCCACCACCTCGACGAGAAATGTCACAATCGCCGTGACGTAATGAAGCGATTGTAATGCATCAATGGGCGCGAAATGGAAACGAGTGATTTATGGAGGTGAGGCAGCGTGTGCGCCGCGTTTGGCTCGGATAGGTATTTATGTCACGGAAATATATTATTTTTTTCCATGTACGCGACGCGCCTGCATGTGTTGTAATTCGTCAATACGTTTCCCTCTCGTGAATAAGGAGTCCTCTGATTGGCCGGGCCATTCTCAGCAGCAGTGCTGTGGAATAACACAAACACACACACACACACACACACACACACACACACACACACACACACACGCTCGCGCGCGGGCGCGCGCTTGACGCCGCCGCCATGGGGTGCGTCTACAGACGCGCATTCAATTAACTGAGGCGGGGCCGTATGGTCATGAAAGCGGGACAAATCAACATGAGTTCATTACAAGCGGCGCGGAGTACACCTCTCGACATTTATGGTTCTTGTTTCTTGGTCGTGCGACGTTAATCTCTTCCCGCGGGATTATTTTGTTTTTTCAAATGTGAGGCAGAGAGGGAGAAAGGAAATATTGAGTCTCTGGGGGTTCATTGAGGTGAAAGTAGATAGGCTATGTGTGTACATGAAGGCACGGTGCCAAGCTCAAGTTGTTGCTGTGTTTTTCTCTTCTTGTTCAATCTCTTTATTTTGTACTGGTTGTCACAATTTGGTGTGTGATTTGATATATCTGCATGTTGAGAAATGTGTTTTCGATTTACTCTTGTGCCGTTTATTACACCTATTTGAGTAGCCTTTTTTATGAACGCCTCGACAGAGTTGTCGTGGCGCAGCGTAGTGTTGCCATCTCTGTGTTCGTGTGGTAGTTATCGCCGTTTTATCGAGATGCGAATGGTAGTTAGCCTTGGGGTTTGTTGTGTTGTCGGTTACTGCCGAGCGTTTGCGTACAAACAGCGTACACCGAGCACACTCACGTGTTGGCGCGGTGTATATAGAGGGCATACTGGAGATGGGCATCGTTTTAAAACTCGCGACATTAAAGTCTAACGTTTTTTTACCCTATTGCTTTTCCAGACGATCTGACGGACGAGGAGGAGTCTGCCGAGCGCGGCGGACGCGCCGGGTCGCCGGGGGCAGCGGGCAGCTCGGGGGCGGTGCCGGGGGCGGAGGGCGACCTGCTGCCCCCGATGCACGCCTCCTCGCACCTGCCGCTGTTCCTCGAAGAGCCTCAGGACACCTACGTCATCAAGAACGCCCACGCCACGCTGCGGTGCTCGGCCATCAACGCGCTTCAGGTGAGTCGAGCGATTTGTCATACCGACCCGTCCTGCCTACCCGGCACAATGGTGGAGGTCATCCTCTCCGTGTGTCCACTGCCCCCCGCCACGCACCGCCAGGTCGCGCAAATGGTTTTCCACTGAGAGTGGCCAGGCGCGCGCGCGCGCACGCAGACACACACGGCGTCCCGCGGTGCTCTCTGGGCCGCCCCACGAGGTCCAGCACAGCACAGCGGGCCGAGGCCACGAACAAGGCCGAGTCGAGGCCGCTCAGGACCGCCTACTACCCCCACCCCTTCCAGCTCTTCCAGCTGATGTACTATACTACACCCTACACCCCCTTCCTGCCCCCCCCTTCCCCCGCCAACAACAACAACAGCAACGACGCCGTACATACGGCTTTGTAACATTGGGGCCCGACCCGACGCGGCGTATTCGGCTAATTAAGCCGTGTTGATTGGCGCGCGAGCCGAATGCCGCGCCGTTTAATGGCGAGCCGAAGCCGAATAACGGCGGAGGCGAGGCAGGTACACGACTGTGCGTTACAACCACCGGGAATACACGACACGCAATCAATTGAGGGACAACTTATGTGCCGTGCCGTGTCTTTGAATTTTCACGATGCGAGAGGGAATGGCGAGTGGTAGCATGCGCCGCCGTGCGCCATTTGCAACGATGACAATTTCCCTCGCAATTTTCCCTTTCTGACTTTCGAGTGTTGTACAAAGGAAATGGAACGGTAAGTGAAATTGTCATCGTGTTATCTTGGCCGTGACCAGCTAATGCCCTCTCCGTATCTGTAATTCCCTGCCTTTTCTTTTTGCCCCCCCCCCCCCCGCCCCTGCCGTCGCCCTTTCCCCCCCTCTCAACGCTCTCTCAGTGTGCTCTAACCTTTCTTTACCTTTTGTCGCCGCAGGTCTACTTCAAGTGCTCGAACGCGGGCAAGTCGGCGACCCACCAGCAGGAGTTTGTGGACCCGCACGACGGCGTGCGGCACGTGGAGGCCTCGGTGAACGTGACGCGCCAGGACGTGGAGGAGTTCTTTGGCGAGAAGTTCACGTGCACGTGCACCGCGTGGTCCTCGCGGGGCAAGATCCGCTCCCGCCCGGCCGCCGTCCAGTACGCCTGTGAGTATAAGACACGAGGAGTAGTTTTAACACTTTTTCATTTTTATTCCCCTCCGTCCTCTGTGTGGCGCTGGCCCTCGTAAGCGGATGACACATTGTTCCGCTGGGATGCCACGTGTTATCCGCGGATCATTGCGGGACGTCTATTCTCGGCGGCGTTATGATAATCTGGGCCTGATTGATGGGGAGAGATCGGGAGGGTCCGTCCTCGGCGTCCTCGGCCCCGGAGGCCAGCGCAGGACGTTGTGCCCCTCTGGGCTTGGGACCCATAGAGTCACGGCGACCCAACCTCAATACGACAAACGGTTCTCGTCTACTAAATTCTCGCGAGTCGACTGCCGCGCCAAGCCAAGCCAAGGAGAGGAGCTCGGCGAGCGAAGGCGTCCGCGTCCGCCACGGTAGAGCGTCCCCGGGTCTTACCGCCACCACGCCCTCCTGGTATGGCTCTTGATACCCATCGGAGCGTGGCGGGGCAGAGCGGGGCGGGGGCACCAAACACAGGGAGCTCACGTGTCGCGGACAATGGAGGAGACTTGCGGCGGCTGCGGGTCCAGGAGCTCGCGAGGCGAGGAGGAGCGGGGCAGAGCGGAGCAGAGCGGAGCAGAGCGGAGCAGAGCGGAGAGCCGTGAGCGTCGGCCCTCGTTGACATAATGACGTGGAGACGCCGAGCCCCGCCAAGCACACCGCGGGGACGGGGATCTTTGCTGCTGCTGCTGCTGGAGCACGGCGAGGGGCGGCCGCGAGCAGCAGACGAGACGGCCAAATCGCTGAGCGACAGGAAAATAGCCCCGTGACGTCGGATTTTATTGTTTACGGACGGCTTCCTCCTTTGGCCCTCCCCCCCGCCCCTTCAGAGCTCTTGTGCCCCGCAGAACAACGCGCCGGGGCTCGGCGGAGCGTTGCAGGGCCGCGCCTGGACCCCACCAAGGTCCTCTGGTGGTGGTTCGAGTGGGGGCGGCCGCCACGCTCGGGCTGCAGGGGCCGCTAGTGCCAGGGCCACCCCCGCCCGCGCCACCAGCGGCGCTGGGGGAGGATATCAATGCGCATAAATACGGTTTACGACCAAGAGTGCTGGGCCAAAACTTTGGATTCGAGCCGCGGCTTGTCCCTTCTTGCTGCCGCCCCTTTCGCTAACGCCCCCCTCCCCCTTGCCCCTTCTCCACAACCCCCCGCTGAGCGCTCGTCAGGACGCCACGTCCCGCCTGATGCCGCGGGTGACGGATGACGGGGTGCATCTGGTCGCGGCGAAACACTCACCTGAGATGGAACAGCCGCCGCCGAGGACTGATGACACTCGCGTCCTGGGGAAGGGGATCCGCCGCCGCCGCGAGGGCCTAGGGGGCTCTGCTTTAGCACGCTCGGGGGAGAGAACGGCCGGAGAGCGTTGCATGATGAGAGGTCGATGGATTTGCGTTGATCGGACAGTAACCCCGGCCCGCTCCATTTTTGTTTCGCCTTAATGAAACGCAATCTGATTCCGTGGAGGTGGAGTGGTGTGGCGCAGTCCCGCGGGGGGTACTACACCCTGCTCCTTCCGGCCCCCTCCCTCCCGCGACCCGGGAGAGGCCCCCTTGTTCTTCTCGGGGGGATGTTCAGCGGTGGTGGCGTGGCGCAGTGTCAGCCCCCCCCCCCCCCCCCTCCCCACGCTCGCCTCGACAAGTTCCCGAGTCACGTTAGAGACGGACATTCTTTCGGAGAAGTAGTAACTTGAAATGAGAATCCGAAAACGGCGTGTGCGGCACGGCCGGGGCTCCGCCAGCCTCTGCTCCTCCTTATCACTCCCTGAAAAGTTATCGGGCCTCGTCCGGGGTAGGGGGTTGAGGGTGGAGCGGGGGGCCGGGGCTGCGCTGCTGGGCCCCAAACTGAACCGGGCGTGGGTTCCGCTCCGGCCGGCGCGTTAGTTTCACTTGACACCCCCTGGGATTATAGCTATGGCTGGAGTGTCGCCCCCACCACTCTAACCCCGGCCACAGAGAGGGTTGCCTAGCGACGGGTAGCGCGGTCGTGCGGTACGGCGCGGTACGGCGAGGTACGTTCCATCCGCGCGGCACCTCTTCGGTTTCCCATCAATCTCCGGTGCCCTTGTTTCCACTCCCCTGCGTCCCCCCACCTCCCTCCCCCCTCTGCCCCTACCCCTCTGAACCGTTTTTCCCCTCATGACTCTCACCGATGGTTTACCCCCGGAAGGTTTTGTTTCCCGCTTTCTTTTTTTCTGTCCAACCCTCCGGCCCCCCAACCTTCCCCTCCCCCGCGGCGGATGTTACACCTAGCAGGAACTGGAGCGGGGCGGGGGCGGGGGCGCTTCCGCACGGAGAGAAAAAAATAATAAACAGGAAAGGGGGCGGAGATAAAAACAATGCAGATTTGGAGAGAGTACGTGAGCGGCAGGCGAGGCAAGGCGCGGTGCGTGAATGGCGCGGAGCGCGAAAAAGAGCGAAAGGTTGTTGTTGCAAGTTGGTAGGATTACGCGCGGAGGCTAAAACCCCCTTCCGACCTCCTACCGCTTCCCCTCCCCCCCGCTCCCGGTCCCTGGCGGTCTGGTGGCCTGGAAAAGACTAAAGTACGTCCGTCCAGTCCACCTCCCCAACCCGCTATCCCCTCAAATCTCCGGAAACCCGCTCTCTCTCTGTACTGCAAATGTTTCGCATGGTGCGAATTTTCATGCCGACTTTGTTTCTGTTATTTTGACGGGGTGGGGGTAAAGGCTGTGCGGTTGTATAGGCAGCACTGCAAAATTAGATTTCCGCTGTGATCAAATCTATCACGCCGGGCCGAGCTGCGAGCCGGGGGTTCAGGTCCATCTCATTGCGAATGCTAATGGCGCCCTCAAGTGGTCGCTCGCGCTTGCATTTATTGCATAATCGCATCCCCGATGCCCGGCTGGATGGCGTTATTATCATTATTATTCATCCTCTGCAACTTTTCATATATTTTTTTTCATTTTATATTACGGGCGAGCGTTGCACTCTGTAACGTGTATCACGGGAGGAGAGCTACCAGTAGTAA